CACTCAAGAAGAAAAACATAAGAGAAACCAAGACAAGGATGCTGGTATGGCTTTTCACAAGACACAACAAGAAGAAAACCAGACAAAACAATAAAACAAGGCACAGGCGGATGGTCACCTGATCAGTATTTTGACCTGAAGAAGTAGACGCCACGTCATTATAACCATTAATCTTGTGTAGTACTGCATCACCATCATCGATATCCGGACAATCAAACCAATACACATCGGAATTATTATTAGGTCTTACATCGATGCCTTGTACGATCAAACCAGATTTCCACCTACCACCTTCCTTCTCAAATAGCATCATGTCCACGTGTCCATCATCTCCGGAACCGTTGAAAAAATCTCCGAGCTTGATCTCCGACCAACCATCGCTTCGGCGATGAGGTAATATTAATGGACCATCATTATTATTATTATTATTATTATTATTAATATTTTCTTGATTAACATCGAGAAACACTGTCTTAGTTTTCTCGTTATTAAGAGATACAAATGCCTTTTCGAGACATCTGGCGCGATCTCCCAGTTTGAAAACCAGAAACGCAGAATAACGTGTCCCAACCCGCAATTCTTTTCGATCAACCCTGCCCGTGATATCTAGCCAACACACTTTTAATAGCTTAGCCACCTCCGAACTGCAATACATACGTACGTACTGCATGTAATCATATTCAACCCTAACTGCACGCGCGCGCGTGTAACTTTGTGTGTGTGTGTGTGTGTGTGTGTGTGTTTTGGGGAATATAATTAAGTAAAAGTAGGCACGTACGTACCTGCATGAAGCATCATGAGTCCACTTCCAATAAGATGAATTGTCAGCCCAAGTTATTGAAAGCTCCCTCGCCGGAATCCACCTGCAGCTCTGCGCATGCATCAAATCCCCCAAAAACAATTAGAGTTAACTGCAATGTGTCTAATAATTAATCATCATTAACACTAATTAATCATCACCATAATTAATCAATCTAACATATATAGTCGAAGAGATGAATATTCATGTTTTACCATTTTTCTTTTTGTTCCTTCTCAATATCAACATATATATGTGCGTCGATATATCAGTGCGTCTGTCTCTCTCTCTCTCTCTATATATATATATAAGCCGGCGATTGAGCAGCTTAATTAATTAATTACATGTTGGTACCGGCCATAGATTAATATGATAATATAAAACTCATTCTTCGCTCAATTAATATACACAAAACTGAGTGATCAATTGATGAGTATAACTAATTAATTAATCAATAAAATATTCATGTTTTACCAGTAAATTTAATATTTATTATCCTCATATATATTTTATTCGTTTTTGTAATAGTCACCTTTGGGCTTTGCAGCACGTTTACGCGTTAATACTATCATCAACTAACCAAGTCACCTTTGATTTAGAGTTTGGGCCTGGGCCTATCATCAATATTTTAATAAGTCATAATAAATTACGACCCGCCCCTTGATGTAAGGTCAAATTATGAAAAATCTTATTTCATTTCCGTAATTACAACCACCACATCAAATATAATTTTTCTTACACTTTCACTCGTCGTGGTGTCTAATTTAGCGGAATTTTCTAAATTATGTGAAATATCTTCCAGTTTGAATCTGTTTACCCCATTCAAGCTCCATATCTTGAAACAAAATATATATATATATATATATATATATATATATATATATATATATATATATATATATCAAATTGTGGTGAATAAAAAATTGCATTTTTGCATAAAACGAGTACAAACTAGAGAACATTTCACAGAATCTAGAAGATTATATTGAATTTGACACTATAAAAGTGAAATCGTTTTTTTTTTCCCCGTAATTTGACCTTATCTCATAATAGACCGGGACCTTTTTTTTAATGATCAGCCTAATCCGATTAGTATGGGTCCAAAACTCGTGATGGAAAGTAATGTTGTAAAACCTGAAAACAATAATTAATTAATAATGTTCATCTTCCCCGAAAGCAAAATTAAAGATCAATAAACATTTAAAGTTTCATGCTTTGATTCATCTGGATATATAGGTAATATTAAACAAAATCTATTACCACTTTTTATTTTCCTTCTCATCTTTAAATAATAAGGATAAGACTTGTTTAAATTCTGAACCCAGTAGTAATATTACATATATATATATTTGGTGGGCATATTGAATAAAAAATTAAAACTAAAAAAAAATAAAAAAATAAAATAATAAAATATTTTTTACGTGAAGAAGTTAAAAATTGAAATGTCCGAATTACTATTTGTTGTTGTTCTTCTTCTCTCTACATTTGCAGCAACTTCAAACGGCAACTGTCTGAGCTGGCGGCTATCTGTGGAAACGAACAACCTCCGTAACTGGAAATTAGTCCCAAATGAATGCGCAACGCATGTTAAGGTATACATGGAAAGGGGCCAATACCGCCAAGATTGCGACATAGTCGCCGATACCGCCGTCGAGTTTGCTAAAACCGTTAAACTCGCCGGCGACGGCAAAGAAATCTGGGTCTTCGACATCGACGAAACCGCACTTTCCAACCTCCCGTTTTACGCCAGACCAGATGTTGCATATGGGTAAACGCGATTTCTTGTTTTTCGATCTCTGGTTTTTTTTTTTTTCTTTCTTTCTGTGTTCGTTTTTTTTGTGCACGCAAGGTGTTTGTGTTAATTACTGATGGTGGTTTTCAGGGCGAAATCGTATAACTGGACGGGTTTAGGGGAGTGGATTAAGGAAGGAAAAGCACCAGCTAATCCATCAATGCTGAAACTGTACAAGGAATTAATTGCATTGAAATACAAGATTGTTTTCTTGACAGGTGCAAACGAAGAACGCTTTATGAAACCAAGGATTTCTAATTTAAAGAATGCTGGCTACACCACTTGGGAAAAGCTTATATTCAAGTATACTCTCTCTCTCTCTCTCTCTGAAATTTAAATTATATCATAAGAAATAAATGAATATTTCACATGAATAAAATGGGGAGTTATCTTGAATTTCAGGCCAGGGGCAGAAAAGGGAACTCCAACAAAAATATTCAAGTCGAAGAAAAGGAAAGAGCTCGAAACTGCAGGATATCGAATTGTAGGAAATGTAGGTGATCAATGGGGTGATTTAGTTGGAGATTATGTCGGTATGAGAACTTTCAAGCTTCCGAATCCTATGTACTATGTCGCATGATAAAAAGTAGTTCTCGTTATAATAAATTATTAATAATACATGGAAAATAAAGATTTTCGAGATCAGAAATTTATTGTTCAATAGTCTCGATAGTAGTAGCGATGTTCTTGATATCTTTCTTGTTCTCTGGCTGCTTTGCTCGTTTTCTCTTGTCTTCCGCATGACATACTTTCTTCATCTCCTGTAAAAAAATCGAAGCCTATGTGAAAAATCGAACTAGTGACGAAAGTAAAATAAAGAAACAATCTTGAATATATATTTCACCTTTGATTCTCTTGGAGATAAGTGGCTAGAAGCAGAGTTTTGTCTCGAGAAGCTTCTAGTGGATTTATTCCGAGGCTTGTTTGGCCTCGGGATATTGTTGGGGAAAAATGAAGTGGTGTTTTCGACTAGTGAAGAAACCTCATTAGATCCACAGCTCTCTTTCTCCTCCATTTCGGGCCCGCGGGCCGCCATCCACCGCTGCAGCCAGCTCCACCCCGTGTTCGTTTCATCGGTATCTCCCATAATTATTTGTTTCCTCTTTGAACAAAACCTTAGCTGAAAAATCCCCCCCAAAAATTTGTGTAATAATTGCAATAATATATTGGTTATGTAAATTAATTGTATTGTATTATTTCTTCATAATTAAATTACCTGCTGGGAAAAGGCGTACGCTAGAGCTCTTTCGCGCCTCGTCGCTGCCTCAAGCCGATTTTGGATTCTCGTTTTCGACATCACACTGCTTAAAGTACTGTCATCCCAATCTTCCTGGTGAAATGTCAATTGAAAAATAAATAAATCATTTTTTCGATATTTCCCGATTTTGTCAAAAAAAAATAAAAAACCTGGATTTTGAGCACTTGAGCTCTGTTTCTATGCCTAATTGTGTGGTGCAGATCAAAACTAGTGTCATCTTTGATCGAGAAAATATCAGATGAATTTCCAGTTTGAACTTCAATAGACGTGCCTATTGACTCCCTACTCGGACTTACTGCACCCTCGTTTTTCGCTCCTTCTCTCGCCCGCCTTGCCTGAATTTCGAAACCAATAACATCGGATCAAAACACATCGTACTATGATCAATAATTATCAGACATCGAAATCTTCTAGAAAGTAAATATATGTAGTTATCTGACCATGAGGAAGGTTCTAAATGCTGACTGGATGATCAACGCAGCATCTTCTTGCTGGAAAGCTCGTGCGCAGAGTTCCGTTTCTCCGTTCGACTATCTTCATTTTTCGAATCCGTGGGACCCGCGGGCTGATCCACAGTAGCTTCGGAGGCCGAATCTTGTTCTTCATCTGCTGCACAGACTGAAGTATTTGTAGTAGCTCTATTGCTCCTAAAGGAAGCCAAGTCCAACTCTACCATGGTCGAGTTTCTAACCGAAGTCGAGTCATCATCAGCTGCTGCGTTTACCAAATTGTATTCGTCGCCGCAAAGGTACGATCTCACCGAGCTACTCCATTTTTTCTTCTCCACTCCATTGCTATTCGTTTGATTACTCTAGAAACGGCGAAAAAAAAAAAGAATTCATGCAACTAACAAAACGGACGAATGATAAATAAAATCAGACTTACATTGCTCTGGAGAGAGCGGCTTTTCGAGAATACGTTCCGAACGATCTCGACAGATATGCCCATCTCAGACGAACGATCCCGATAAACGAATTTTTTCGGGGCAGGAGAAATAATAAGGAAAAAGGAGAGGGCATTTAAACTATATAATATGCAATGTCCCCTCTGGAAAGAATGTGGGATTTAGTCAAATAAAGTAGATTGATTAGCATCTAGTAAATATAGAGTGTAATAATAATATATTGTTTAGTGTCTTAATTAACCTCTGATTTTCTTGATCATTAATTAGCTGGAAATTAGATTTAAAAGGAAACTGCCACATGCGCATAACTTTGGAGCTGGAATTTGGAAAAAGCAAACGTGGTTTAATTGTTAAAAAAGAAGAGTAGATAGAAAGGGGGGTGGGGGTGGGGGTGGGGGTGTATAATTTAGTTTCTTTTCCATGACTTTATTCACATGGCTTGCAGTATAATTTTTGCCTGACAAAAGTTTTTTGCTTGCAAGTGGGGCTATTCCAATTTTTTTTTATGTGTTAGGAAGTTGCAAGAAATTTAGACCAGGAACATGAGATCCTAAATAATATTGTGACAACTTTAAAAGAAATTGGAATATAATTTTAATCTGTCTGAAAAATTGATTGTGCTAAGTGGGGCTATTCAAGTGGCTTATGAGTGAATTCCCAATTGGGAAAGTGATGATGCCAAAGGAGAATTGCATTCGAGAATTGTTTGGTTGCTTTGGTGATAAATCACTTTGAGATTGGAACTTCTAATAAGTCCCCATTCCCCAACCCCACTACAAAAACTTTGCCATGGAGTTGAGTTTCTTGATAATTGAACTTGCATGTCCGAACAAACGGCTCAGTAAGCTATTGTCGAGTGTTCAGTCCAAAAATCTAATATGGTGGCAACTGCAATAAAAAAACAAGCATCAAATTAGGCCACTCAACTCACAAAATTCTATATTTACTCCAATACTCACAGTGACTTGACTCACCAACACAAGTACAATCAACCAGTTTAAAGGGACACTCTCAAAACACTCGGAGTTTCAATCACTCGCAGAAGGAGATTATAAGAAGAAAACTCAGAGATATGAACAATAACTTTATTTCTCTCTCTAATGGTAGTATAAATAGACACGAAAACCAACGGTCAGAGAGATCAAAACTGACTCCGTGTCGAAGTCCGCCATGCATGGCGAAGACTCGAGCTGCCCAAAAAAGACTAGGAAAAATGTCGAAGGTACGACATAAAGAGAGAGAGAGAAGCAATGCAATTGAAATGAATTACGGTTGAGAAGAGGGAAAATTAAAGTATGAGCGAGCGAACGTCCACGATTCAATGAATTAATTTGAACGATCAACATGAGAAGTTCTCACTATGATGGGCTTAAGCGGCTTGAGCGCAATTTCTGGAGTTGGGCCACCAAGAATCATTAATCGCAGGCCCAATATAAAATTCATCTACGAGCCCAAAACTTAACACAAACATGTATTTGTTTTTTCCACTAATAATAATCAATTCGTCCAGCAAAACAATTTGATCTAAGTTGGGTCAAAATAATAGTCCAGCCCAAATTGTTTATTTCATAATTTGTTTTTTGAAAACAAAACTAAATAACTATCATTTATAATAATTTCATAATTGTGTTTTTTTTTTTTTTTTTTTATTAATTTCGTAATTTGTTACTCACATCCAAATATATATTTTTTCAAGCTAACATGGCAATTTTAAAAGCCTGTGTTGGAACGAATTAAACTTTAAATGAAATTGATTTAAATAAAAAAAGAACCATATTTAAAAAAAGAAAAGAAAATAAATAACAGCTATTTAGAAAATAATTAACTATCTTCATATCGATCAAAATGGCAGCAATTTTCCTTGAAATTTCACGACATCGATTTTTCTTGCGAAAGGGAAACCGGAAATTGAGAAGCAAAGTTGCCATAATTGCAGTATAACAAAGAAAATCACGATGAACAACAACAGTAGCAGCAGCAGCAGCACAAGTAGAGGCGACGATCGAAATAAAGAAACTTCTCCTTCACCTTCTACTCTCGATTCCAGATTCAATCAAACTCTTAGAAATGTTCAAGGGTATGTCTCTATTTTTTTCCCCCTTTTAATTTCACTTTTAGATCCATGCGAAACCCCTAATTTCTTCGGTTCTCGAAATCCAATTTCTGGTTTTTTTTTTTTTTTTTTTTTGGGGCTAATAGATTTCAATGCCCATCGGAAGATTCGTTCGGAATACTAAAATTGGCTTGTGGGAACTCAATTTTGTGATCAGTGAATTCAGTTACAATTTCCTCAGTTTTCTGTCTGTTAGCCGATGTGAATTTTATAGGATTGTGGAACTGTTAATTATGTAGGACTCGATGTTATGTGGTGATAGTTGATACTGCAACTAAAATTGGGTTTTGAAGAATTTTATAGCTTTGATTATTAAATCCCGTTTCGAAAAATCGAGTACCTAATGTAAATGTACATTCGTAAAATGTACAGGTTGCTCAAGGGTCGGAGTTTCCCCGGTAAGATATTGATGACAAGGAGATCGGAGCCGTTGGATCAATCGGTTTTGCATTCTCCAAACACTCACAGGGTGCCTTCAGAGAGTGATATTGACCACATTGACCAAGTGGATAGATCGAACGAGGTTCCATTTCTATAGTCCCGTACTCGAATAATTGAATAAACTGTTCTGATGAATATAAATTTATTAATAGATTTTCTTCATGCATTTAGGATGAACTTCAAAACAGAAGCAATGCAAGTGCTAGTTCGTCTGTTAACCAAATGAAATCCTCGACTACGGGCAGTGAAAGCACATCGAAAGAAATCCATAAGTCCACAATGGGAGCTAGGGCTACAGATTCTGCTAGGCTGATGAAGTTCACAAAGGAATTATCCGGGCCCACTGTAATCCTAGGTTTGTTTGTGTTTTTTGTTTCTTTCATTCGCTGAAATCACGATAATTAATTCAGCCTCGCTTTGAGATATTGTTGTTATGTCTAAGTTCTTGATAAATCGTGCAGAAAAACTGCGTGCATTATCATGGAGTGGTGTGCCGCCATATTTGCGTCCAACTGTGTGGAGACTTCTCTTGGTATAATTATATTCGAAGTGTTCAGTAATTTTGATTTTTTTTTTTGTCGAACGATTCTCTACCAGAATGTCGTTGGAACATGAGTGTGAATAGTGGTTGTTTCGTATTGATTTGATTGATCGAACGGAAAAGTGAAAATAAATCGTAATCAACACATATTATATTATAAGAGTTTTAAAAGTACGAATGTGCGATTCTTATATTGTGACAATTTCGGTGGTTGGGTCTTGCTTATTCCTATATTTTCCTCAACAAATATTTTTGAATTTTAAGTATTAACTGACAACAGGGATATGCACCGTGTAGTTCAGATAGAAGGGAGGGAGTTTTAAGAAGAAAGCGCCTCGAGTATCTTGACTGTGTCGCCCAATATTACGATATTCCTGATACTGACCGTACAGATGAAGAGATTAACATGCTTCGTCAGGTTTTATAATCTCCGTAAAATTTGTTGTTAATTGTTTCTTTGCATGCCCTTTAATGCACCGTGACTTGCTTAACAATGTTTTTTCTTCTTGAACTCGTTAGATTGCTGTTGATTGCCCCAGAACTGTCCCGGATATCACTTTCTTTCAACAAGCCGAAATTCAAAAGTCATTAGAGCGAATACTTTACACATGGTTAGATGCTCTTTTTGGCACCAATTTTCATTTTTGTGCATTTAATTATTTATTATTATATACTCTCTTTTTGGGCATCTCTCTGTGGAAAAAATGTGATCTTTATCGATTTTATTGTTGGGCACGTTATTTTTATTAATTCTCAAAACTTTAATATTATGTTCGTTTCGAATTCCAGGGCAATAAGGCATCCAGCAAGTGGTTATGTTCAAGGAATAAATGATCTGGCGACACCTTTTTTAATTGTTTTCTTGTCGGAGTATTTGGAGGGTAGTGTTGATACTTGGTCAATGGCTGATCTTTCTACGGAGAAAATATTGAATGTGGAAGCTGACTGTTACTGGTGCCTATCGAAGTTGCTCGATGGCATGCAAGACCATTACACATTTGCCCAGCCTGGAATTCAACGACTCGTGTTTAAGCTCAAGGAATTGGTTCGAAGGATTGATGGTACGATCTCAACAATTAATGCATTTCTAATATATATAAATATTCTGATTTTGCCCAAGTAGAAAGAATTTAGTTAATATTGAGGTCTTAAAATCATCGATTGACGAGTTGTTTTTGTGAATGCGTTAGAACCTGTATCAAGGCACATAGAGGAGCAGGGGCTTGAGTTTCTTCAATTCGCTTTCCGCTGGTTCAATTGCCTTCTTATACGCGAGGTTTGATTGACTTTATTTACTCGATTTTATTATTCTGATTTAGTTAATAAAACTATATAAGTATTGTGTAGATGTTGTTAGTATTCATTTGTGAGAGAGGGATAAAACTAATGAATGTATATATGTTGATGTAGATTCCATTCGGTCTTGTTAGTCGTTTGTGGGATACATATCTTGCAGAAGGAGATGCTTTACCCGATTTTCTCGTATATATATTCGCCAGCTTTCTTTTGACGGTAAAAGGCAGCTTCATTTATTGTTTCTTGATTTTTATTTTTTTAATTTTAATTTCTTATATCTGTAAAATATGTGCAGTGGTCGGATAAGATACGAAAGCTCGAATTTCAGGAAATGGTGATGTTTCTGCAGCACCTTCCGACGGAGAAGTGGACGTATCTTGAACTGGAGATGGTGCTTTCTCAAGCTTATATGTGGCACACTGTTTTCAACAACTCACCAAGCCATTTAGCTGGCTGACGAGGGGAATTATGGTATTTTCGAGTCTCTAGATTGATTTATTGTATGTGTGTTTTACCAGTTTTTGTGAGGTTTGACTGATTTATGTTTGCTGACATTAGTTTTTCCTGTACGAGGAAAATCCAGTTCCTTGTGTATGATTTTGTAATCACTGCTCTTGTTCTATATGTCACTTTTCAACTCAGTTTTGCTAAATAGTTAATTTATATGATCCATTGGAATGAAATTTCGAATTCCTTCGATTACGATGTTAGAACAAAGTTTTTCATTTCGAATTTTGAAAATTTTGATTCCTGATTTTTTCTGGATCGAAATTGGAATATAAATTACATTCCAATTTCCAAAAATTCCACTTATTTCCCCCCAAAAATGCACTTATATCATTATTATGATTTGAAAGAAAAAAAAAATCTGATTTTAGAACAATTCTTTTTCTTCCCGATTTTCTGATATTTCCGATATTATTCGAACAAAACTAGAACTAATTTATTGCTTCCGAAAAAAAAATCGATTTTTTTTATGAAAATTTTAATTATGGCTGTTCCATACGATTTCCACCCTTAACAATGAGGCTCAACTAGGCGTAACGAATTTTCTTACATTTAGATACAAGACCAACGAACAAAGTCTTCCTCCGATTCAGCTGCACATTTGCCCGTAAGAATCGGTATGCTATGCATGTAATCAAATAAACACAATACAAGTCCTTATGTGTGAATTAGCGACCTCCTCTTCGGCTGCAAAAATAAAAGGCAGACAACTCAAATGAGAAAATGCAGATCAAAGTCAAATTCATCGTCGGAAAAAAAGAAAATACGCAATCCGCGACAGAAATCGTATTCCTAAGTAAATAGAAAAATAAAAAAGAGGGTATGAATGAAATGAAATGAAATGAATGAATGAATGAATGAATGAATGAATGAATACTCACAAATGATCTATCAACTTCTTCAAGAAACTTATCAGGGTAATCAAAATACTCGGCGCATTCTTTCCTTACTGCTTTGGAAAGAGCATCTTCTCCAGCCTTGTCGAGATTCCTTATCACAATCGTCAAGGTCAACTTATCCGGTACATGACCCGATGCCTTCATCAGCTCGTAAGTCTCCATTGCCTTGTCCACCATTTCTACCGTAAAATACGCTCCAATAAGTTCGGTATATGTTCTTGCATCAGGCTCCAAACCTTCGTTCCTCAATTCTAACACGAGATGTTCGACCGTCTCAATCATTTTCTTCTTCCCAAACATCTTCATCATATCATTGTACAGAGATAAATCTGGTACATACCAAACCTCTTTTCTCACAAAGCTGAACACCTAAATTAATTCAATTAATTATTTTTTTAAAAAGGAAATGCAGAAGGTAATGAGTAAGGAATAATAAATACCTTGAGGGATAAATCTAATTCGTTTTGGCGCTGAAGCTCGGCTAATGTATCCATTAAATCGCATTTGAGAAGCCTGCTGATTTTAGTGCTGAAAACTTGATCCAATTTAGAGGGATTTTGGGCTAATTTCAAGGATTGGACGGCTTGAATAGCTTCGGTGGAGAGAATTCGGGTCCTCCACATAGCTTTCCGGGGCCCGTTTCTCAGACCACATGTGATTCTTAATTTGTGAAATTGGGGGTTTTTTTGTTGAAAACCTAATTGCAAAAAATCAAGTTTGAAACTGCTCATTGGAAAGCCCTGCTCCGGCGGCGGAAACAGCAGGTAATGTTTGCGGCAGAAGATGACGTGGCGGTGGCGGTGGCGGGGTTTTGATTATTGCAGGAGATGATGGCCGGAGAATTAAATGCAAAATAATAATATATTCTAGATTTTGGAGTTGGGTTAGCAAATATTTTGGGCCTTATTGTTCGGCTTATTTGAAGAATAATGGGCCGCTGTAATTTAATATGAGTTGACCTTCTTTTTTTTTTTTTTTTTCAACTGGAACTAGGGGTTTTTTAGGGTTTTACCAGCACCGAATCGAAAAAACCGAATTAATTCGATAAAAAATCATTTCGTATCGAATAGTTCATTTCGGTAAATGACATTATATATTATTACACAAAAGGAAAAAAAATCACACACATGACACATAAACAAAAGTACAAGAAATACATAATTCATAAAAACACACACAAGATCGATCACATACTGTCATGAGAAATCCATGCAAGATCAAGCTGCGTAAACCAGTGACAAGCCTCGCCTTCTCCAGGCCCGAATTTCAGTATCTTAAAAGCCACGTGTTCTTTCGGCCAATGACAAGCAGGGGCGGAACCAGGATTAAAAAGTAGGGGGGGCTAACTAAAATTTCGGGGTTCGGGTCAGCGCCCCGAAAAATTTTTAAGGTTCACAAGACATTGCAAAAATATGTATATATTGCGAAGTTTTAATTAAAATAACACACACACACACACACATTTCAAGCATGACAAAAAATCTAAATTATTCTAAATATATATTGCACTTAGGATTTATGGCACCGTCTCATATTATTTTTTAGAGACGTTGATATAAAAAAAATCAAAGATCGGATAAGTAAATATTCATAAATTTTATTTAAAATAGTATAAGTTTTAACCATTTTATTTTATATTTTTATATTAAATATGATATACATCTATAATTTATATAAAATTATGGAGAATAAACAAAAAAATTAAGGATTAAGATACATATTTACAAAACTTTTGGGGGGCCAAAAGTAATATTCAAAAAATATAATGTCAAAATAGCTAAAAAAAAAAAAAAAAAAAATTCTTGGGGGGGTCAACTGCCCCCCCTGCCCCTTAGAAGTGCCGCCACTGATGACAAGTGTCCATGTGGCATATTCCCAACATCGTATTTATAAGACAAAATCGACCTCTTACAAACGAGTCAATTATGAAAGCGAATGGCAAAAGTAAGCTGCAAATGGAAGAAAAGCCTCGTGACACGCCACTATTTTCGACTTACCACCACCGCCGTATTCCTTAATATTTCCGATTTTAACCTCCGTATTCGAACCCCTCGTGTTCTTCGAAGTTAAGGCTACAACTTTCTTCTCCCCCAACGTAAACTTGGCGAATTCGACCATTTCTTCCAGGGATTTAGGACAGAGTTTTGTCTCGCCCTGGATTGCCTTGGCGTTGCAGTAGGCGAGAATTGTTTGTATTGTTTCTTTCGTCTCTCCGGAACTATCGGAGAATATTTTAGCAATGGCGTCGTAGTTAAGGGGAATCTTGGATGCGATTCGAAGGGGGAGAAAAGCTCTGTCGGGGAGGGAATCTTTCAAGTGTGGGAGATGTACGAGGTTTCCCTTTTTCAGAACCGACAGCCTATAAAAGGAAAATGGATCGGATCCTCTTTTTTATTGGCCTGTCGATGAACGTCACCAGAAAATTGGTCATACGTTTTCGTTAAGAAGTGGTACGTATGATCGAAACTCTTGACATCGTCGAAGACAGAGTGGCAAGCAAGTTTAGCAAGTGAGCAGAAATCGGCATCAGCTGAGAATATGCTGTTCTTGGAAAGTAGTAAACTGCTGTAGTAATTGTTGTTCCCGATACATAAAACGGGTAGTGAATTTAGTAAATTGGTTGAACAAATTAATTAGTGAAAATACGGAAAGATTAGCCGAGGCGAGTTGACTCTGTCCTTAAGACGAAATTTCCCCGCAACGGTGCTAACGGATTAAATGGAAATCGTCTCCCAAGATACAACGGCTAAACTTGGAATAGGAGCACTCCAAATCCCAAGTACGACGAATTGTACTTTGTGTAGAACTTTTCGAGAGAATCTGTGAAAGGTAGGCTTAATATGTAGTAGGCTTGTTTTTGGATTGAAGTGAGGAATTTTGGGAAAGTTATTGTCTATTTATAAGGTTCGAAAAGTAGTGTCCTTTGGAGCAAAATGTATCTTTTGTTTGAATGGTTGCACCATTTCGAGTTGAGCCAATTGGGAGTGGTTGCACCATTTCGAGTTGAGCCGAATGGTTTGCATTGGTTCGGCCGCACCAATTCAGACCAGTCAGACCAATCGAGATGGGCTTCGAGTAATAAGGGCCCAATGGGTTAAAAACCCATGACCTAATGTTTTTGGCCCATCCCAATATTTTGATATATATACAGCTCAGTACTTCTCTACTTTTCCAATGTGGGATAACTCAAATCCCACTTTCCTTATATTTTGGACTAGTAATTTTTTCATTCACCACAAAATTGGTTCTAATCCAAAATTCATTTATATACTCAATTAGACCGTACAATAACCTTGATAAAAAATTGTTCATGACTCAATTTTTAACCAATTTTCCCAACAGTAATCGGAGTCTTTTTTGGTCAAAGGGGACAGCTTTTTGAGGATTGGCTTCGGGATTTGGTTTTCGACATTTTCGAACCAGAATTCGATCTGGTCCGAAGCAATAGTGGCTGATGAAGGTGATGAAGAGGCTAATAATAAGTAATTGAAGGTGATGAAAAAGAAGAAAGACAAGTTATTAAGAAAGAGTCATCATTTGCCAATATCTTAATTATTTTTCTTTGCTTCTTTAAAATTGAAAAAATATAATGGATGATGGAAATTATTTATACCTGGAAAGCTGAATATTAAAGATAAGATCAATATATATATTCAATATAATATTATCATTGATTTTCTGCTCTAATTTAATTTATAAAACAAAGCAACTAATTAATTTCCTCATCATGAGTTGATGTATTGTTGTCTTTTCCTTTAATTTAGTTTTGTAATAATAATGTTCACCCTACTTGCATGATAAATGCTTTGCAATATATTATTTTTGTACATGTGAACTGAATATATTAAATTTTGATCAATATGTCGGCATACTAAATAGGATATATATATATATATATATATATATATATATATATATATATATATATATATATATATACAAAACGTCTCAAACAAATTAACATTCATATATATTTTAAATAAAACAAGTAGACGAAATAACATACAATTATCGAAATAGAAATGCAAACATTAATGCATCATCACAATTCATAATAATAATAAACCACACGTACGTACGTAGAAACAACTAGATGCATGCATGCATGCATGGATATGGATTACACATTAGAAATCCATGCAAGATCAAGCTGCGTAAACCAGTGACAAGCCTCTCCTTCACCAGGTCCAAATTTCAGTATCTTAAAAGCCACGTGTTCCTTCGGCCAATGAGAAGTATCCATGTGGCATATTCCCAACATCATATTCACAACCTTCGACCCCGTCTCGCGATCGACGAAATCCACCATGTACAAACGAGTCGACGTCAGCAAATGGCAATAGTAAGCTGCAAACGGAAGAAAAGCTTCGTGGCACGCCACGATCTTCTCACCGGCACCGCCACCGTATTCCTTAATCTTTCCGATCTTCGCAATGGAATTCGAACCCACAGTGCTCTTCGAAGTCAGCGCCACCACCTTCTTCTTATCACCACCACCACCCAAAGTAACTCTGGCGAATCCGACCATTTCCTCCAGGGATCTAGGACAGCTTTTTGTTTCGCCGCGGATCGCGGCGGCATTGCAGTATCCAAGGGTCGTCTGTATGGTTGCTTTCGTCTTTCCGGTGACGTCGGAATCAGGGAATATTCTAGAAATGGCGGTGTAGTTTAGGGGAATCCTGGACGCCATTTTCTCGGGGAGAAAAGCTCTGTCGGGGAGGGTTTCTTGCAAGTGCGGGAGATGTACGAGGTTTCCATTTTTCAGGACCGACATCCTGAAAAAGGAAAACGGATCCTCGGTTTTGATGCCGCTCTGTTGACGATGAAGATCGGCAGATAGTTTGGCGTATGTTTTCTCTGTGGTGTATGTTTCCTTCACTTGCTTGACGTCGTCGAAGAACGAGGTGCATGCGAGTTTAGCGAGTGTGCAGAATTTGGCATCGGCCGAGAATTTGCTGTTTTTGGAAAACAGTAAATTGTTGTAATAATCAGAGTCTTTTTGGGTCAAAGGTGACAGCTTATTGAGGATGGGTTTTGGCATTTTGTTATTGACATTTTCAGACCAGAATTTGAGCTGGTCTGAAGCAATAGTGGGTGAAGAAGATGAAGAGGCTAAGGTAATAGTAACAAAGGAGCTGAAAAACAAGTTTAGAGAGAGAAACAATATTGCTGCCATTGTTATCTTTTTCTAATTCTTTGATAATTTTACTAATGATGATGCATGCATGGGGCGTATTTATACTTGAAAAAAAAGGCTTGGATATTATTATATTAATTAAAAATAAGATTTTCATGATTTAAAAGAATTGTTGATTATTGTGATATATATTCTGATTTAATTTACAAAAAATAATTGATCATGGTATTGTTGTCTTTTTTCCTTTAGTTTTTGTAATATACGATGATGTTCATCCTACTTTATAAATTATTTTCAATGTACATCCGAACTGAAGATATGAAGGTTGATTAATATGTCGACAAAGTGTGAATAGAGAATGTATTGGGCCTATTGCCGCTGCAAATTTTGACTTTGTATAGTTGACTAGTGGAGTGAGGAATTGTGATTTTCAATTGACTTCGATTCGATTTTTGTCAATATTTTCAAATAGGTTGATTGAGTTTGTCGCAAATTATTGTGGTTCAGTTGACTAGTGGATTTAAATGACTTCAATTTGTCGCAAATTAATGTTTTTAAGGTCGATTGAGTTTGTCGCACATCATTGTGGTTCAGTTGACTAATGACGGAATGAAAAATTGTGAATTTAAATGACCTCAATTTGATTTTATCAATATTTTCAAGGTGTCACATGGGTATGAGCTTGATTTATTTGAAAATTAAGCTATATATACACGAAGTAATTCGTGTTTTCTTGTTTAGGGATTTTTAATTGCAATGGTGACTTCATTAGTGGAATTTGCTTTACATGCAGTTTGATTGATTGAGTTCTGACTTCTTCCTAAAACGTAAAATTGAACGGATCAGATCAAAAAATAATTTCCCAATTTTTTCAAAAGTGAACAAGTCAAAAAATGCAAAAAATCGAAATTTCCTTCCAATTTTAAATTTTCTTTTGGAACTTTTGCAAATTTTGAAAATTGTATTATTTATATATTTTTTACTTCGTCCGGTCGTCCCAATTTATAAGAACGTATCAATGGGTCGGGTCAATGTCTTAAGTTGTTGGGATCCAAAATATATTGGGCCTTTCTAGTTTGGGCTTCATGTAAATATATAAATACATGTACAAAAGCTATCTTGAAATGGGCCCGTTTTAACTTTAGGTACGTGACCAGACTTAGCCCATCTTTTTAATTTAATCTAATATATATTTTTAGTATATTGACAATTTTGCCCTAAATTTGTTTTTTTTTTTTTTTTTTGAGGAACCCTAAATTTTTCTTGATCGATCGAATTTTTCGTTTTCTGAAAAAATAAAAAATTGCAATGAAAGAGATTGTTTTCTATTCTGCGGTATTCAGAAAATAGTTCGTTCCAATTTTCGCAAAAGTACTTTTCTGGATATCCAAAATTTTGATTAATCCAACTGCATTAACAAATATATATTGGGCTTATTCGAAATATAATGACATGTTCGAAAGCTATCTTGGGCAAGGAGGCTTTAACTTAACGTAGGAAATCTCGTGAGTTGTGTCGAAAATATTCGAACATGTTGTGATATTTAATATTTATTTTTTGTCGGAATATTTTGTACTGTTTTTATTAATTTGTAAGATTCCGAAATCAAACAGAAAACCTCCAACACTTAACATAAAATATGCACGAAGCATACACTGGAAAATGGAAATACAAGCATTGCATAACAAAATAGTACACTAATTAATAACCATACGTAAAAGAACTAGATGCATGCATGCATGCATGGATTACTCATCAGCAATCCATGCAAGATCAAGCTTCGTGAACCAATGGCATGCCTCTCCTTCTCCAGGCCCGAATTTCAGAATCTGAAACGCCACGTGGTCCTTCGGCCACTGAGAAGTGTCCATGTGGCATATTCCCAGCATCGTATTTACGACATTCGACCCCGTCTCACGATCCACAACAACATCCACCGCGTACAAACGTGTCGACGAAAGCGAATGGCAAAAGTAAGCTGCAAACGGAAGAAAAGCTTCGTGACACGCCACGATTTTCTTACCTCCGCCGTATTCCTTAATCTTTCCGATCCTAACCGCCGAATTCGAACCCCTCGTGTTCTTCGTAGTTAACGCAACAACTTTCTTACCCCCCAACGTAGATTTGGCGAACCCGACCATCTCTTCCAGGGATTTCGGACAGCTCTCCGTCTCGCCCTGGATTGCTTCGGCGTTGCAGTACGCGAGAGTTGTTTGTATCGTTTCTTTCGTCTTTCCGGAAATATCCGAATCAGGGAATATTCTACTAATAGCATCGTAGTTCAACGGAATCTTCGACGCCATTTGTTGGGGGAGAAAAGCTCTATCGGGGAGCGATTCTTTCAAGTGCGGGAGGTGTATGAGTTTTCCTTCTTTCAGAGCTGACAGCCTGTAAAACGCAAAGGGATCCTCGTTTTTTATGTCCTGGTGACGATGAAGAGCCGCAGAGAATCTGCCGTATGTTTTCTCCCTGGTGTACGTGTCTTTCACTATATTGGCCTTCTGGAAAACAGAGGTGCATGCCAGTTTAGCGAGTGCGCAGAAATTGGCATCGGCTGCGTGTATGCTGTTTTTCGAAAGAAGTAAATTGCTGTAATAATCACAGTTTTTTTGGCTCAAAGGTGACAGCTTTTTGAGGATGGGTTTCGGGATTTGGTTTTCGACATTTTCAGACCAGAATTTGATCTGGTCTGAAGAAATGGCTGATGATGATGCAGAGGCAAAGGTAATAGAGCAGAAAAACAAGTTGAAAAAGAACCAAAGAGAAGTGAATAAATGTGAATTAGTAGACATTTTTTTTTTTTTTTGCTAGCAAATTACACTTTGAAATAATTATATATTTGGTTGCTGCATGTTTTATTGATGAGAGAAGGACACTATTTATAGATGCAAAATTTGGAAAGATAAGATTAAGATTCATCCAGGGAACAATAATATCTTCATCTTGATATTGTAGTACTATACATCTCGGGAAACAAAAAAAAAAAGAAACATGCAACTTGGATTAGTTTTGTTCGATGGTCGATCGATGTAGACGAATTATACTAATTTTTTATATGTATAAATTAGTAGAGATTTGAGAAATGTTCGGGGCCCACGCTGGCTCCGCTCGATCGCGCAGGGAGGCCATGACCATATCCATATCAACTATGTGTTTATCCACATCAACTAGGATATATATATATATATCCATATCATCAACTATATGTTAAAAATAAATAAAGAGTATCTGTAACACGTGACGAACAAATCCCTGGTTCCAGTTTTCATTAAAAAAATAATAGATAGAGTACTGAATTTCACAGTGTCCAAGACGTAGTTTTGGAGTATTCAGACACAGATTTATAGATAATAGATATTATGGATTAAATACAATAGATTTCAGATCCCATACATTTTATAATAATGCAATTAAAGAGGTATCTTTCACTTGCCCATGTAGGCAAAATTTTATGTTTTTGTTTGTAAGCTTGACCCCTGTTTTTCTTTTTCTTTAAATCTTTCGGATTTATGATATTTAAAAAAGAAAAAAAAAAATTAAAACTACTCAAGCTCGAGCACGAGCTCGAGCTGGGATTTAGGGTTATTTAGATGTAAATTCATCCTTCATCCCTTTCACAATCAGAGTTTATTAGAGTTCAAACTCGAACTCGAGATTCACTACAACAAATAATTACAACACTTGAGATTTATATGAATTAAAGTTTTGGGAAATTACAATTTAACCCTTTTCAGGTACTGTAATTTTTCGGAGATTCAACTTGTCCCTTCAAATTTTAAAATTATTTGTTAAGGGCTGGGGGCTTTTCTTATTGTAAGAACCCATCAGGGGTATTTATGTCTTTTCACAATCAATCAACGCTCAAATAGCAAAATGACCGTTGCTATTTGTACGTTTAATATACACACAACAATAGTGAAAATGAATCTATACAAAAAATGATTAATGTTTTCTTCTATCTGGGCTCCGGCATTGTAATGGTGATTTCATTGGTCGAATTTGCTTTCATACTGTTCGAATTCTGCCTTGTGATAACGTCTCTTTGGGTGAAGAAACCAGGTTGCCTGGCCTGAGGAATTTCACCCGACTCAGCCTCGTTTCGCAGCATGAAAACCACAGAAGACATGTTCGGCCTATCTTCTGGATTTTGTTGCACGCACAAAAGACCGACTTGGATCGATCTCAACACTTCTGCTGTCTGAAAATCGATATCTAGAGTGGGGTCCGCTACTTCCAACGACCTCCCTTCTTTCTCAAGTTGCCATGCCTGAAAATTTCAAAATAAACCTAACCTTCATTTACGTATACAAAAAACACACACACCCATGTTGGTGTGTGTTCACTGATCAAGATTAAATCTTTACCCAATATAATATTTGACTAGTAAAAAGATAGTGCAAATGGAGATGAAAACTTACATGACCAAGAAGGTTGAGGCCATGTTCACTGTGTGTAAATCCTCTATTTTTCTTACCACTCACAATTTCTAGCACCAATACTCCGAAGCTAAATACGTCTGATTTAACCGAAAATAAGCCATCTACTGCATACTCTGGAGACATGTATCCACTGCACAAATACAAACAACATTATATATATATTATATATATAGTTGTGAAGAATTAAGATTACTTACTATGTTCCAACAACACGGCGTGTCTGAGCTTCAGTCTCGTTGCCTCCAAAACTTCTAGCAAGTCCGAAATCCGATATTTTAGGGTTCATTTCAGAATCGAGCAAAATGTTGCTGGCTTTAAGGTCTCGATGGATAATTCTCAAACGGGAATCCTCATGAAGGTACAAGAGTCCTCTAGCGATCCCATTTATGATATTGAAGCGTTTTTGCCAATCAAGCAACATACTTTTTGTTTGATCTGTCAAATAATTTTGAATTAGTACTCAATTGTTGGTGTGGTTTGAACTTCTTGATAGAATTAAAATAAAAAGACCTCACCGAACAAGAATACGTCGAGGCTTTTGTTAGGCATGTATTCGTATACGAGCATACTTTCGTCTCCCTGGATGCAGCATCCCAGAAGCTTAACAAGATTTCGATGCTGAAGTTTGGCAATGAATATGAATTCGTTCTTTAATTCGTCGAGACCTTGACTGGATTCCTTCGATAACCTTTTTACAGCAATTTCTTGTCCACCTTTCAACATGCCCTGAAACCAGATTCTAACCAATTTAAGTAGTGCATTTTCTAAAAATTTACATAATTTACGTGGGGTGTTCGTTCTGCATGGCTGTACAATTAATTACAGTCTTGCATAAGTTGTATATACGCTTGAAACTTAATCTACGAAAGAAAATTAATGTTCTAAAATTAAACTTAACAGCTAACATATAACATTTATCTGACCATTTCCATTATGTCTATAACGGGGTCATAAACGGCAGAGTCTCGATCTGGATTATTATTTAATTAATCCAACAAATAAAATTGGGAAAGGATCTAGATCTGTAACATCATTATATAATAAGTCCAACATGATGAGTTATTCCCTGGATTTCTTTATGAATTGCACTTTTAACTTTTTATTCATGAAAAGAGAAAATGCTAGATTCTTTTTCTTTATTTAATATAAAGTATTTATGTTAGGTAATGTAATGAACAATACATTGCCTAACAATGTGGACCATGCTTACGATAAATATATTATCGAGCATTCCCTGTTTTCCTCTAACCATTTGGACTATTGCACCAGATAGTATTTTATCGTGAAATTTAGATAATTAACAATATATATGTACGGTGATATATATGTATACTGCGTGAGGTTCACCATCAAGGTTCTTCACGATGAAGACTATAACGTTAGATTAACATCTTAGGTTCGTGAAAGAAGAAATCGCACCTTATAAACAGGACCAAATCCACCTTCCCCAAGCTTGTTACTGCTCGAGAACTGATCCGTAGCTTTCAGAATAACCGATAAGTCGAAAAACGGCAGGTCCGAGTGTTTCTCATGATCTACGTCAAATGAAGTTCCTGTAATAAAGAACAACATAAACATACATTCAACTTTGAACAAGAAATTAATATTAGCAACACAAATTTATTACCTTGATCTTTTCTCGTCTTCAGATCGTTCCTCTTCCTCTTCCAAATATAACATACATATAAGCTAAGTAGTACTAAAACAACGATTCCCACCACAGATACCAAACTCGCTATCAGTATTTCTCGTTTCTTTCCTTTAGACTCTGCAGCATTTTTCACTTGAACACATCAAAACACATTGCATCAAAACACATTGCATATATTAGCTAAAGATTCTTACCTTCAGCCTCAGAAGAAGCCATTCTGACATACATAACAAGTCCATCTGCAGACATACTTCTGATATCAACCAACTCCTCGTACCAAATCAAGCACCCACTTTCTCTCCTCGTATCCAACTGTGTATACGCCATACAAGAACAATTTTTCAAACACTCTAATCTACATTCATCAAGCGTCATCGTATTATTATGCCAAGAATTTCTCGCATCGGGCAATTTAATCCCCGAGTACTTCAAAAAGACATCATCTTGACAGCTCAAATTCGCCCTACGAACACACCCATTCGACCAATCAGCTCTAACCCAACCTTCCGGCTCTTTCGGCACAAACCTATGATCAAGACACTCACAAGAAGGCGAACCGCCAACATTGCAACTACCATAAGCACCGCAAAGCTTATAATTATCGCATATATCCGAAGGAATGCTGAAATAAATCACCCACCCACGAGTCCGGTCAACCCAAGTCCACCGTTGAGAAACACCGCTCAGATTCATAGTATACCTCGAAACAAACGATACATCAATAATATCGGATTTAAAGTACACTTTCTTGTCATCCATCTCGAACGAAAGCTTGTAAGTGGGATCGTCTCTCGGATTCGGCGGGCCCGGAAAACGAATCCCATTCCACGGCCCGAACCGATTCTGTACAGCTGAGCCTCTCTTGATGAGTAGCTGTGGGTAGCCAGTGGGGTCCAGGTGGAAACTGAACTCTCCTGTAGCTGGATTATCGTTGCTTTTCCATGATGAGAGGTAATTTTCTCTACCAGTTACAAAGTTCCACCCCAAACTCATGCCTGGTAAAAAGGTATCCGTGGGGTAATCAAAACTCTGCCAGAGGAAATTATCCGGGTCTTTTTCCTTTTCATCTCTTATTACAAGATTTCCAGAACCCAGCAACTGTGCAACTGGGTTTTTGACGGCGATTGAGGTGTTGGAAGACCAAACGGTGCCGTTTGTGGCATTGAGAATGACGAGGATTCCAGGAGGGGTAACTGTTAACACGCCGGAAGTGTCTGTGAGTGGGGATTCTCTGTTTGCAACCCAGACAACTGTCATTTCTGTGATGTTCTTGAACCACATTCCCACGTAGCGGTTGCTCGAATTTCCGGGGCTGAAGAATCCAAGTTCGAACTTGCCGCCGGGAGAGACCAGTGTTTCGCCGTCTCTGATGATTTCATCGGTGTTTATAGTATCCGTTGCGCCACAAATCGTCGAGAAAATCAAGGGAAGGATGAGGAGAAACCAGGAGGAACCTCCACTTCTACTCATGGGCTTCCTCTGTTGTTAACAAACCAACCAAAGTTTTTACTTAGGACTTTCATCAAACAGGTGGTGGACGAAGTTATTGAAGAAGAAGAAAAAAGTAGTGGCGTAAACTCCACATTTCTATCCGGTTAAACAATGGCAACTGGCAAGTTGGGGCCTGGGGGGGAGAAGAACAGAGGTTGAGCCGCCACCTCTCTTCCTTGTCGGCTGCTTTTTAGACTTTTACAAATAAATCTCTTCTTCTACAGTTCTACTAGAATAAAAATACAGATTAGCTATCATTATTTTACTGTTTTTTTTTCTTTCTTTCTTTCTTTTCAACTACTAAATTTTAGGGTTATTTGCACTACGCCACGCCGAAGATGACAAAAGCTAAACGACGACAGCACAAATGAAATCATGTTCTGGGCATTTGCAATAATTATGATTCGTGATTTTTAATTATGTAATGCAATGAAACGATTGCTTTATAAAACAGGAATACTTGATCATTAGGTGGCATATAAATGACTATGCTTATATTTTAGACGACAATATTTTACACAATCACCTTTTTTATTTTATTTTTTTGTCTTATTCTTATACATCAAGGGCTCGTTTGACTAAACTTATTTTAAACATCTGATAAATTCTTAAGTTGTTACATTTTAATCTTAGAATTAATTTTTAAAGTGTTTGAATAATAATATCATTATAAGATTTTAAATAAAAATATGGACTAGAGATACTTTAAGAAAAATCTTATTTGCTTATATTTTGAATTTTTAATATCTTTTAAAAAAAATATTATCAAACACTTTGAAAAGCTTATAAGTTCTTTTTAACCACTTATAAGCTTAGCCAAACATCGTCTTAGTCAACAAAAATTACAGTCGTCGAT